TTAATCATTTTACATTTATAAACTTTGTTTATAGGTAATGGAAATTTACGACTTTGAGCATAGCGAATTTTAATAGCTAAAACCATTTAATTTAATTTGCTTTTGCCAACAGTTATAAAGTTATAAATGCAAGCTGAAACGAAATCAAAAGTAAAGGTCGTGGCATTAAGTAAATTGCCATTTCCCCGGAACTTAACCAGGCGCAAACTCCGTAGAGAAATTAATTTCCCGCCCTTTTAAGTGAAAACGGGCGAAGGTTGCGCTTGCAAATCTCGTCAAAGCATTCGCGTGTAATTTTTTGTCATTGATTTGGTCCCGGCAACAGTTTGTCAAGCACTCACATTTGACCCTGACCCACCCACAACACGCCGCCCACCACCCACCTTCCTTCGCCCTTTGGTACACAGATGTCGACCCTTGACAGAAACAGTCAGACAGGAACCGGCCAAAACTCGGCCCCAGCGTCTTTGGAAATTTATTACATTTTCAAGTATTTTTCCGGTTTTGTTACCCGGAAATTGCCGAAACGTGTGGCCGGCGTGCAGAATCCTTGAAATGTGCTAAAATAAATTATTAATAATTTCTATGAGGTCCCTTCCAGACTTTGGGATTTTACACGATTTGTCGTCGGATAAATGAATTATTTATTTTAATGTCAAATATTCCTGGTCCCCAAGCTCCTCCCCAGGTCAGTTTGGCTCCTCGTTTGAGTCTCTATCTTGGGGTCCACTCCCAACTCGTTCCTTCTGTCGGGACGTGATGGTGATGCTTTTTGCCATTTTCATTTTCCTGTTTTTGCAGTGATAATCTATTTTGTCATTCGCCTCAATTTGTTTGTGGACTGTGGTCTAACAAATTGTAATCAAAGTTTATGATTGACGGATATTCAGTATCCAAGCCCTGTTTTATCTGGGCAAAAAGTGATTTGGAAATGAAATATGGTTCCTTTTGAACCTAAGACTTTTCAAGAAACTGCATGCTGTAGAAACATTAGAAGCATTAGTTGCAAATATTTTGGGAAATTTCCCCTATTTTGTAATTTTATAATTTTTTAATAAGCGATGGGACTTTTAAAACATTAAGGTAATCAATAACCTTTCAATGAGGGCTACAAAATATAAATCTAACTAATTCCTGGCCTCCCGTTTTTTGGCATAATGAAAGTGATGGTTTTGCATTTCAACTTCAATTATTTAAGGAGGGGTAGACGATGAAGTTACCTACTTCAGAACCAGTATCTGCGAAAGAAGCTACTTAACTGCCTGTCATTCATCAGAGAGCAAATATGAAATGGAATTTAATGATATTATATCAATATTCTCGCATTGTCTGTTTGCTTATGTTCTGTCGCTGTTGTCAACGTCAATGACATGCAATTATTTTCACATTAAAACTCATTTCCGTTATTGTAACTGAAGCGAGACATTAACGGTTGGCTGAAGCATCTATGGCTTTTTCTACCAGCATCAGTGTTGCCTGCAATCTATTTATACCAACTAAACTATCAATGGAGAATGCAAAACTAAAAAAAAAATCTTGCGTAAAAGAGTATGCTTTAAAAACAAAATTCATTCAATAATGTTTTTCCAATTTAAAGCAGTTCTAACTAGTTCTAACCCTACAGTTTTTCACTTTTCACGAATCCATTTTTTTGACGTATAAAGTAAATGGTCAAACTGAATCTTTTATTATCGAAGGGAGTCAACAAAAAAGTGCAAATTCGCAACTCTATATATACGAAAATCTGATGGTTTCTAGAATAACTAACCGAAGGCCAGAAACAGATCAATTGCCAGCACTGCCGACCAAGTCGGCTAATGGCCAGCCAAGTCGTCAATCAATACTTCAATCGGTCAGTTGTTGCCACTCGCCATTCGCCACTCTTATGCAAATTCGAGATGCAGCCCTCCTCCCCTTTTGTGTCCCTCTGTTGGCACAGCATAATTAAAGGGATATATGTGGGTGGTGGCCTGAATGATAGCCTCATCAGCCGCCATATCCTTTCCTTTTGGTATGTGTGGCTACATGGTCATATTAAAATTATTGCTGTATGCACTGGGCAAATGAGAAAAGTTGGCGAAAAAATTCATTTAAAGTTGAGCGATTCGGAGAACTTTAATATTTACTACCAATTTAAAATGCGTGCAAACATTTACATCAGTATTGTGGCGGGAAGTTATTGTCCTTTCGACCATCCACTTAAGGTCATTAATTCATTCGGCGACAGCTGCGAAAAGTGAAAATCGTCTTTCGTTGGGCAAATGAAATTAACATACTGCGCAGCAAGTGGGAAAATTTAATTAAAGTGGCGTAAAAAATGATTGTTAAAACCGGGCTGCTCGGCTATCATTTGCATCGAGTGGAATATAAATGTTGCCATTCCATTTCGATCTTATTGACCATGAAAAGAGGTCGGTCAACATATTCATTCAGTGGCCGTTTGTTCATCTGTTCTTTTTTTATTATTTTTTTTGTGTGTATGTGTGCGTTGTTTATTGTGCTGCCTAATGTGGCAAAGTCTAGACACTTTTAATATATCTAAATTCTCGAACAGGGGGTTTCGGTAGGCCCGAGTTAAAGTTGAAAATACTTTGCAACGCTCATACGCCGCGTTGGCCACATAAATCTTTCGCCATCGTGCGATACCAACTATGTGCGTGTCTGGCTGTGTGCACATTAAAAGTTTGCCTAAGAGCTTATGGCACCATTTGTAAAAGCGATTTTTAATGCTGCTGCGAGATCCGCACGCGAAGGGTGCGAAAGAGTGGAAAGCTCTCTCCAATGCCATGGCCAGCATCTAATGGCTTTCCACGCATCACAGGGAAAACTTTTTTAATGAGAGCGCATCGTGCCAATACCCTTTGCCGGAATACGTGAAAATAGTATCAGACGGCAGGATCTGCCAATAGAAATTTCTTTTTCGAGAATTACTTAATTAGATAATTACAATATACTTCGAGTTGCCTCTATTTAAATGACAAATGCATATTTGAACAGTTAAAACATTAATGCTTCCGAATTCATTGATAAAAATAAGATTGTTTTGCCAATTTCGTGGCAAAGTCTACTTTTTGCACTTATTCGGGTTCAATATTTAAAACAGATTAACGGACTAAAATTAACGCCCAACAAGTGTATGATTTGTTCGTCTAAAATAAAAAACGCTATCACCCGCCTTTCGACATCGCTTAGTGTCATTTAAATTGTTGCTCGGCTTGACAGCTCATGGCATTTCCCGCGGGAAGAGCTGGGGGGTTGAGTAATTAGTTGAAGCGCATTAAATCGCTATGATTTTGTCACTGCCTGACATTGGGGGCTTCGGTCTTAGCTTGGCTTACAGTAGCTCCAACATGGCCAGTATCATGCGAATCGGCTTACAAAGTTTCCATGGCAATAGAAAAGCGTTTTATCAATTTTACAGGAAATCGAGTAGAAAATTTGTTGTTGGCGAGCTATTAGAGCCAACGTTCAGTTGTCCGTTTTAATTGGAAAGTTTTACATTTCAGTTGCAACATATCTGAAATGAAATCAAATACTGCCAATGATTATTCGTAGAGTTCCTCGTGTTTACTCATGTTTTCATTTTTGCATTTTATTCAAATTGCAAAAGTATTTTTAAATCAAAATGTATTTCATTACAGCTTATCAGATGACTGAAAAAATTCTTTGCCTGCAGTAAATTGATTTCCGGCAAATAACTTTAAGGTGCCTTACACGATAAATTTATTACTGAGTGTTCCGCTATCAAAACGTTTGTGGCCACATTTGCCTATCGCAATCATTTAATAGGAAAATCAAGTGAACAGACAAAAAATATTCATCAATTAGCGGCTGAGAACGATGGTAGGGTATTCCCCCAAATATGCATAAAACATTTATCAGAATCATTTTAATAGCACATTAAATTTATTTTAATGCTATTAATCAACGGCAATGTTTGCTTCATTTATGCCTGAGGCCTGATAGCCATTTAAATCTGTTGTTGCATCAAGATCGCCGTCGGACTTGCCGGCAATAACACAATCGGCCAGTAGCAACGCATATTAATGTCAATCAGCCGTGTAATTAACGCGGCCAAATGGACAACAGCGGAGCAGTAACAACAATACCAACAGTAAGTGACAAACGGGAGCCATAAATATGGCTAATCGGTATGGCAATGATTTGATTAGATCGACCGAGAGTGTGATTTCTACTGCACAACACTTGCAAACTTAAAATTGAAGATGTATTATTATTTGCCCAAGAGTGTAAAGTTTCCAAATTTATTTAACTATGAAAACTCTAAGCCATATTGAATGACTCCGAATAAATGTTCTGAATAATTTTGTAGGAATATTTGATCAATTTCCAGTTTTCAAACTTATGTCCGTTTTTGTTTTAGAGTGTGGGTTGTGTGCTGCACTCAAATGGCAATGCAAATGCGACAAATTTCTGACAGCCCGAATGTCGGCGACATCATCAACGCCAAGTAATTAGCATTTAGCAGGTTGAGCGAATGTCAAGCGATGGGTTCGGGTTCAAAGTTGGCTTTGAATTTGGATTCGGGTTCGGTTTCGGTGTCGGTCTGGGCTTGGGTGCCAAAATACGTTTGGATATTAGCCGGGGGGCAAAGCGTTTGTAGCTATTTGGCAGCTGACAGCGGCTTTCAGTGTCAGTTTCTGTTTTGGCGGCGCCAAGCAATTAATTAAATGCTGTTAATGAATCTGTATTCCGCTTTTGTGGCTGACTCCAAAATGTGTTTGTTTTGGAGGAAGGGAAAGGTGTTCCGGAAGTTTGACAAGTGAATTTGGCTGATTTTTCGGGGTGGAGACACCTGGAGTAACATTTCACTGTTTCCAACGGAACTGTCGAATTTTTGACAGCGCTATTTCACTTTACATCTTAACTTAAGGATTAATGCTATACATTTGGAATTAAAGCGGAAAAGTAAGGCGATAAAGAGTAACAATTAACACATGTAAAAAAATGCTGTTTATTTTTGAAACATTTTTTCTTGAGGTAAAATTGCAAGCTACCTCACAATAATATGTTTTTGATTAGAAATAATACAAGATTTTTCTTAACAATATATATGATTTTATTATATATTCAATATCATAGTAAAGGTGTTAGTTTAAAACAGATAACCTGACCTGGCAAAATGTCAATATATATTCTACTGTGATCCAAAATGTTGACTTTAATTCATTCATAAATTATTTAAGATCCATCAACATTCGGAACGTTTGAATATTTTGTTGTGAGTTCCATGCTCAAGAGTCGCTTTTAAATAATACCGCATAGTTTCCACTCATTATCTCAGTGTTTGTCGCTTCGTATCTTATTTATTTTATGTCTTGACTTGGCCTTTGAATGGATGCTTATCTAGTCTAATTAAAAAAGAATTCCTACAGTCTGACGTAGCGAGGAAAGGGCGTGATCGTGGGCAAAGGACCGCGTCTTGGCCGCACGGTGCTGGTAAGGAAGTAGTTGGAGAATCGGGACTGGAACCTGCTCCTGAAATCAGGACCTTGGTGGTTTTGAACAACGACTTGTGGTGCGGGATGAACGGAGTACTGCGGACGGGGAGCAGCGGCATGGATGACCTTGGGAACTGCTGATTGTGCGACTTTGGGAACAGCTGGCTGGATGACTTTGGGAGCTACCGGTGGAGTGACCTTGGGAATGATAGGTTGAGCAACCTTAACAACGGTCGGCTGAGTGACCTTGAGCACAGGCTTTGGCGTAGTTTCCACCACTGGCTGGGGCTTTTCCTCCGCTGGCTTGGGTTCATCTTCGAAAGGTGGCAGAAGATCCAGGGAAAGCTGAGGCTTTGGCGTCTCATCCTTGACCAACCCAGTTGGCTTTTGGTAATACGATTTCTTGGTGGGCTTCGTGGCCAACGTTATGGTTGGCTTCAAAGTTGTGGTCGTCGTGGTGGAGGTGGTGCTCGTTTCATCTTGCAGGGGTGGCAGTAAGTCATTGAATGGAAGTTCAATTTTGTCTGCTTTTATTTCCGAAACATCAGCTCCGCACAACGCGATCAGCACTGCCGCCGCAATCAAAATCTGCAAGACATACTGTTTATTAGTTAGTTATTTAAAAATATTAATACTTAGAGTTCTATAAAGAAAATACACAAAATTACTTATTTATTTACATATAAAGGTGTTAGATAAATATATTTGTATTTTTGTCTTACGTTAATCTTGTATTATTTCTTTACAGAATAGCAATTTCTTGATTTCTTTTTAAAACAATTTTCTTTGAATTTAGAAATTTCTAACAACCTGAGAACTACCTCAAACAAAACCAATTTAAATTCTTAAAAACCTAGCCAAGAAAAACGTCGTTCTTTGAAAACAATCCACCAATTTCAATGACGAATTTTAAGTAGGCCACCTTGCCCAAAAACTCTTCTTGGTTTTCACACCGATTTCGGTGGTATCTCTTAAGTTATGACTGTATTGTTTCATTTGAAAACAGCCCCTCCAAATGTGTTCCAATTTCGAAATTTGGTTCGTTTTTTGCTTTGGGAGTGTGGGCGCTCTAAAATATTCCCATCCGATTCGTTTCAACCTTCAAATCTGCAGAGGTCTTGCATAGTTGGCACATGCTAAACTGGATTTGTTTACGATTAGTTCTGTTCGCATTTATATTCTAACGGAAATGTTCCTTTCCCTTGTGGGAAAGGTCATTAGACCTTGCGTGGCCATGATTAACATATCCACTACAATGAAACTAATCGAGCTTAAAATATATGCAAATTGGTAGCTTGAATAGAAAGAAATTAAACGTCATCTTTTGGTCATGGTTCGCAGATTCACACCTCAGATAATAAAGCAATTTATTTCACTAAATAAATATTAAAATCAGCCAAAAGTCACTTCACCAGTCGGGTGTTTTTTTCTTTTTTTTTAACTTTGAGGATGGTTTATTAAAGTACTTAACTGGAAATGTGTTCGAAAAATTGGTTTCTTCAAACAAAAAATGATATTAACATGATAATTTTGCATCCTAACCAATTGCATATTGTAATTTATGCGGTGAACAGGAATTCCACTAATGAAGCTTACGTAAATAGCTAATTAGAACAAATTTGCTGCATTCCTATTCAGTCGATTTCAGGAAAGACCAGCTCTTAAACACGATTTCCATTCATTTGGAGCAATTAAAAATTCACGATTATGCAGAAGAGTCGTCCACTTACGTATTTTAGTGACATATTTGCTAGGGATGTTATTTTTTTTATGTTAAAACACTCGTGTCCCGAACCGAACACTTTGAAATTATCGAACGAACTAAAAGCGCCGCTGAGCATGCGCGGCATTTTTATAGTCGATCCATTTGCTAACCGAAACGAGGGAGAAGTTACACGAACTTGCTGCACAGTGTAAAGTTTAATAACCGGATTAAGACGGGTGTTTTAGTCTATTTTTGTTTAACTTGGCTTGAAAGATGAGCATACGGGCTTGTCTGCTCTCTGACCAATTAAGTGGATTCATTTCATTTATTTCGGTAGAATGCAGCAGCATAAGATACAGAAACAGCTGATCAACCGCTGAACTCTTGGGGTTCACGGTCGCATCTTGTATCTTGTATCTTGTATGATGTATTCTCATATCTGGTTCTTGGCAGTTGTCGCACACCTGCGATTAACTTAATTTTTGGTGAGAGCGAATGTAATTATTAACATTTTTGTTATCGGCTTGCATAAATTGTGATAAAAGGCGAAGCGAGTTTGTGTCACTTCCTCATAGAAGAGGGGTACGCCCGTGTTCGGAGATTGGTTTTATTTCCATTTCTTAATTGATTTTAATAGTATTTGCACAACGCCAAACCTGTTATTTTTCTAGCCAGTGGAACGCCCTCATTTGCATTTAAATCGTGGGGGATTCTTTAATGGAGTGAAAGCAAATTAGTGCCAATTACCAGTGGGCCGATAGCAGATCAGCATCTCCGTCATCAAAGCCCAGAATTTGATAGGGCCCTTCGTTGGCTGTTGGATGTTGGCTTTATTACCTCAATTTCAGTTGATACATCTCCAATTTATGCAAATTATGTGAGCGTTGATTCCTAACGCCAAGACTTTTTGTGTGCGTGCGAAGGCTCATAAATTATGAGCCGCATTAGAGGCAACCGGATTTCTCGGGTTTTGTTTTGTTCGGTTTGGTTCCACGAGATTAATTGCTCAGCAGCCCATTGTTAAGATTCGTGTGGTATTTGCTGATAAGCGTTAGCAAATAGTTTTAAACTTTGTGTTCTGCTAACTGAGGTATTTTGGATAAGTGGATTCATTTTTAAAAGATTTTATCGCTTCATCAGAGTAGTGTAGAGCTTTTTGGCAACGTTATTTGGATCGCAAGGTGTAAAAGATATAATTTATCCGATTTTGGGCTATAAATCTGATTGGTTTCACTTGACTTAAATTGATTAATCCGTTGCTTAAATTGATCTTATTTGATTGTTCTGCTTTGTTTATATAAGGCGACATTAAGGCGCTTCAGAGCGCGGAGAATAAACCACCCAACATAATGAACACATTTTTAAATAATATTCTCGTACTCCGGGCTTAATTTAAATAATAAGTTCTTTTGCTGTACTGTGTTCCCGTTTACCTTAATTATTGCATCGTTATTTCACTGAAAATTCTGGTGCCTCGAATTCATCAGGAGAAAATTATTTATGCAGCCTGAACTGAGACCGTCTGAATTGTTCAAGTGTTTTCACTTAACCAACCGATTGCCGCTGCGCCTCTTTTATTTGCGGCATTGTTATTGTTCTCGATTGCGTTCCATGACCGACTCCATTTCCCAGGTCCCATATCCTTTCTGTTATTTATTTGTATGTATTTATTTATATTTATGTGGGAGTGGGAGTGGGAGTGGGTTGGCGATAAGGGAAATTCCGAGTGCCGCATACCGAAAACCGACGCCGAATATCGAACTCCATCTGCAGTAGTCCTTTGGGTACTCGCGCGCATTCAATTGTCTTTGTATATACATATAAATCGAAAAATTCTGTTGTTCTTCCGAGAGGGACGACGCGTGTCAGTGCGTGACATAAACAATGTTTATGGACAGAAGGTAAGCCAACGGAACCGACCCCAAACTTACAAAAATATTCTCTTTAATCGAAATAACACATGTGTCAATACAAGGCTATCAAGAATTGATTTGAATATTCCGAAAAAAGGGCTGCTTGAAGTTGTTCTCAGAAAAGTAACTATCTCTGATGCAAGAATATAATGTGGGTTTTGAATCCATTCAAGCATTAATTTGCGGCTGGCATAATTAATGAACCGTTGAAGTTTTCAGTGCCTTTGGGTAATTAAAGTCAACATTTAATGGATATGTAATTTTAATAAAGCAATTTTAACATAATTTAAATAGATTCATTAACAATGTTTATTGTTGATATTAATAATTGTATGTTTAACAGTCTTCCTACAAATATATTAGATTTGAAGCTGCTAAAAATTTCACATTTAAAAAGCGAGTATTTATTATCTGGCGGGTGTGTGAAACTCTCGTAATGATCTACAAAGAAAAATGTTCTTTCTTATTTGGAGGTTACTACTAGTTGTTTTATTTGCCGGCACCTTCTGCTAAAAAGGTTCCGGGGAGCAGGGGAGTGTTGAGCATTCCGGACCTCCTACCTGTTTTTGGTAGAACATGTACTAGCACTTTTGTCCCGAGGTCGTTCTGCCTGCCAATCTGTTTGCTCTTGCCCACGAACCTGCTGCCTTTGTTTTGCCTTCCAGCCCTTTTGACTCTCTGGACCGGCTTGAGCCTGAGCTTCATCGGAACTTGAACCGAGTGGACGCCTGCCCCAATGCCGTTTACAACTTCCTGGTCAGGCTTTTGGCCTTGCCTTTTGGCCTGTCGCTGGTGTTTTGTTTGCCTTTTCGTTTTCGCTTTCGCTCCTTGTGTTTATACCCATTAGCTTAATACTAAGGGAATATAGTGAAAACATTTTATTTGGTTAAATTTTCTTCATAACTTTATTTGGAGACAACTTCAAAATTTGTTTCTGTACTTTACTCACATTTACTTAGTTAACATTTTACTTAACAGTTTACTTAAATTGTATTCAAATTTTAGTTTTTATTAATTAGTTAAAATTTCCTAATTAAATGAAATAAAATTATTTTTTAAATATTGTGTTATACAATAAGTTAGGTTTTTCTTGTGAAAATAAAATACTTTTGTTTCTTACAAGGTATTTTCTTGTCTTATAAGTCGACTACAACTTCCTTCTTCTGTTTCTTTTTTCATTTTGCTTTGGGGCTGGCCTTTACGGTTATCGTTGTTTTCTGGTTGCCTGTTTGTTGTTCTTGGCCGCAAGTTTGTTTTCGGCTGTTGCCAAGTGGAATGCACCGTCTGCAGCCGCGTCTTGCCCCTGTAATTAGCACAAAAATAAGGGGAGAGGGGTGGTGCTTCCCCCCGAAGAGCAGGATGCACCCAGAATGTTTGCAACTTGAAGTTCCCGCTGAGAGTTGCTGTTGTAGCTGCTGGCATAGTTGCTGGTGCAATTGCATGATTTGCGGGCCCGAAAGTCAAACTCAAGGCACTCGCACTGCGCGCACTCGAAAGTCATAAAGTGCAAAAATTGTTACACTCAGGCAGAAATGAATTATGAAAGTTGCCGGCAACCTCCTCAGATTCTTTGCCTTATTTTGCTTACTCTTTTCCGCTTTCCATCCCCACTTTTCCACCTCCCGGTGAGCTCAGCGAAAGTTAAGTTTTCGGGGAAAGTTCTGTTTGCGAGTCGAGTGCATATTATTTAATTCAATTTGAATGGCAAACTTAAAAATATTGCAAGCTCGAGAGCAAACCAGCGGGTAGTCGTTGTCTTCTATTTTTGATTTACCATTGCTCGCCCAGCTCGCAAGTTTTATTTTTATTCGATTCGAGCTGGGGCCAGTTGGAAACTCTTTGAAGATCCGACTTAATTTAAAGTTCAGTCGGCTCAAACGAAAGCACTTTATCTGTTGTACTTGAAACTGAATTAAGCTTTTAAAATTGTTTTGTTGTTTTGCTAATAATTTTATTCTAAATTGAATAGCCAAGCAAATACAAAACTGTTAATAGTCCAGTTATGCAAAAATTACAACTGAAATCATTTCAATTGAGAATCCAAAATTATTGTCATTATGTAGTCGTAACGAGACTTATGATTCTTTTGTAATTGGAAATGTGATTAATAATATGTTATTATTTATAAAACGATATGCTATGTGTGGTAAACTTTATTAGTATTTTAAAAAGAAATTTTTGTTGATTGACAACATTACTAGATCCAAAAAGTTAGTCTTGATAGTTTCCATAGCTTAAAGATCTTAAGTAATGTTTTATATATAATTTTTTTAAATAACCTTGTTTAAAGAAGCATTACTTCCTGTTATTTTGCGCGGTTTTATTGAGCGTCTGGTGCTTGTCTAATGGCCCGGATAGCTAATTAAAATCTGACTTAAATTCGCTGCATAATCGAGACCGCAGCGAAGGCAAAAAAAACAGCATCAGCCAAAGTAAAATATATTACGCAGTGCGCCTAAAAGCCGACACCAAAAACTTTGTCCTCGCCTTTGCAAATACAAACACACGTGAGAACTTGTCAACTTTTCAGTGCGGGGCTGCAGCAACTTTAATTAGAAAGTTTTGTCACACATGCAGGCAGTTGGTAAGTACGTCTGCGGTTAAAGTAATAGCGCCGAATATGACTACCGAAAATTTGTAAACTTAATTAATAACATTATTCATGGACATTCATATTAACATTCTATATATTCAGGCAACTTTACACTATTTTAAATTGATTTTTCGAGTATTTATTTTATGATTGTGAATTATCATTCAATTTTGTATTTTAATAGAGCACAAACTCAAATTATTTGCACTAGGTTTTAGGAAAAATAATTGTACTGCTATTTTTCTGCACGGAGTCGTATAAATAGGTTTCCAAAGAGATCCGCTGCCAAAATTTATCCTGTACGAGCGACCGGAGTCTGCGTAGGAATCAAAGTCGGTTTCCCTACTGTGAAACAGTGTACGTTTTGAAGAGAGTGTGCGACCACAGAGACAATCTAAACTTTTCAAATCAATTTTAATTACCATAAATATGTTTCAACCTTTTGCTCAGTGCAGATGGTGATGGTTTTAACCTGTTCGTTTGTGTGTCAGTCAAAAAAATGGGTGGATGTCGCGTTTTCGTCAGTTTGACTGCGCAGAGGGAACCGAAGTTTTGGGAACTTTGTACATCACTTTGTATCTGCATGTGGGGCTTTCA